ACACTACTTTTCCCTTCTACTCCTGCTTCTCCTGCTGTGATGGCAGATGCCACACAGCTCTGACCGTGTTGTGAGCACTGCATCAGGTACAAGGTGACAGGAGAGCTGCAGAACTAAGTTGTTTTGTCAGCTCTCAAAGAGTGTACGTTTCTAGTCTCTTACAACTCACATCTGTGTGTATTGGGAAACACAGGAAACTACTCACTTTGACCCTGGCACTTCACCATAGAAGAAAACAAGGCCTCAGAGAGACAATGGACTTCCCAAAGCCCACTCACACATAAGTGGCAGTGTCAGCTTCAGAAGTGAGGACTTTCATTTCCATTTCAGGAACAATGACTGCTTTTCTCCCTAATACAAAGGTGTTATTTACACCATTTGTACTATCTTTTAGGTATGAGATGTGCATCCTTCATTATTTTCTTTGTTTTAGAGTCCTCAAATATTTTTAAGTAAATTCCTCTCTGTAGATTTAATATGTTTAGTAATAAATCTTATTAACTAGCCTGACAAGATCTTAGCACTAATTCTGAAGTTCTTTCTTAATTTAAAACTAAAATGTTAGTATCTTCCTGGCTGTGCCTTAGGGTTCTAAGGCACATTATTTATTGAACAATTAAGGTATTATACAAATGGTTACTTTTTCTAAATATTTGGTGTCATTTGATGAGAAAACTTAAATATAATCAGAATTTTTTTGTTTTGTTCTTTGAGACAAGGTCTTGCTGTATAGTGCAGGCTGACCCTGAACTCACTACATAGCCTGAGCTGGCCTCCTACTTGTAGCAATCCTGTCTCAGCCTTCCAGAGCTGAGATCACAGGCACATGCCACCATGCTCAGCAATAATCTAATGTGCTTAACAAAATGAAGTTATGGCAAAGAAAATATACTGTGGAAACTAAGATGAACCCAGGAATACTCTCTAAGAAGGATCCCAAAAGAAAATCTGAGCTTCTTTGATTATATAATTGGATTTATGAAGCTAGCACAATTCTGATTTAAAGGATATGCACATATGTTTCATTTCATGGCCTGGGAACATCAAGGTTGCATACTGAAGACCACAGTCACAATAGCTGGAAAATAAATGGAAAGCAATTATGGCTGTCTGTGGAAAGGAAAGGTGTTCTATTAAGCAATTACCTATATTCACTAGACAAGTTTCACTTTTTAACTAATTCCACTTTTCTGTTAACTTTTCCCAGTTAGAAGCTCAGGGAAAATCTTTTTCTTTCTTTTTATTGAGTTTATTGGTACATTTTAGGTATACAGTACAGTTACATTCATTATTGGGATCTTGTACCTTTACATGACAGTTCTTGGTTCTCATTTTTTCCCCTTGTCCCTGTCCTCCCTTCACCCCCTCCTCCCCTCCCCATTTACAAACACTTAATTTCCATTTGTTCATTTTCTCATATTTATATTCTTTTGCTCAGGGAAAATCTTGCAGCTAACTGCTAACGTGTCTTCAGTCCTGCGGGACAGACCTATGGGAGCCATTCTGCAGAAGTCAGAGCCATCTCAGCCCTTGAGCTCTGGTTAATCACACTGTATCCTGCTGGATTTCCTCGGATGATAGAATAATTGTTTTCTCAAGGGGCCAGTGGGATCACTGACTAATCCTATACAAGTGTTTCCACAGAAAATTGGAAAGGCATTGTAGAAACTCTAAACATGATAAATATTTAGTGTCCATTAACTCAGAAAATAAATCACTGACTTCTAACTAATCTACAAGAAGTACACTTACATCTTTTCCTAAATACAAAGAAACAGTTATTACTTCTCTCAGCAGAAATGAGTCTCATAGCACAGGGCAGCACACTGCCTATGTGTTACTGGATTGCTAAGTTTTGTTCTGTTAATCTAAATACATCAGCAAGGGCCGGGGATTTAACTCAGTGGTTCTGCCACCTGCTGCACAAGCACAGGACCCAGGTTCAATCCCTGGTACAAAAAAAAAAAAAAAGAGCCTTATCAGCTAAATACATCAGCAAAATATTTTCCATCTGTACATGAGTCTCTGTGTCAACAGGCATAATGTGACTCAACTGGCACTTGAATTTCCTGTCCCCAGGAACATCAGCTGTCTTGGCTACTGTTCTAGAAACCTTTCAGTCAGAACTGTTAAAAGGTACAAGATCCCAATGATGAATATAACTGTACTGTATACCTAAAATGTAACAATAAACTCAATGAGGAAAAAAAGTCAATTTAATTCATGGTGCACCTGAGTGATGATTGATGTTTCATAGCAGATATATGCTTCCTGCCATGTGTAAAATGACAAAGGTTAAATAAATAATAGCTAGTGTTATTACATAACTTGTAAAAAGTAGAGATTGCAAGATCTGATACAGAAAAAAATCCTCAAAGCCTAGGTTTATCAAAATTACAAGTCTTTGAATTTCCAATAGATTTTAAATAAAAAGTATTTTATATAATTCCCACATAATTAAAAACTTCGCATGTCATCATATTTTTATTTAAATTTCAGTCAATAATGGCAAGCACCACACAACTTTTTAAAAATATAGTTGATATCAGCTCTTTATCAGCAAAATAGAAGTCCTATATCTCTAAAAGACTCATTGTTTCTTTTCATATTTTAAGGTAAGTACACTTACCAAGAAATAAAATAGAGTTAAGCTAAACTACATATGCATTCTGACTGTTCTCTGTCTCCCAAACACGTGACTTTCCTTTTCTGCTATTTCCATAACAGATCAAAATTCTAACCAAAGTGCCCATTTTTCTTATCCTTAAAAAATATGTGCAAAGTTAAGCCAATATTACATAAATGCAATAGTACATAGGATCAAATATACAGAAACTTCCAAGTACAAAAATAAAACATCATTTCAGCTGACCAAAACAGAAAAATGAAATCCATAGTTTTGCGTCTGTATTTTGCATAGTTAGTTTCAAGCATAGAATAATTACCAGTAGTTGATAGGTATTGTTATTAAGTGTAATTTATGATTTTTAAATATAATTATATAAAATATTCACTGAATGCCTTCCATAAGTACATGCCTTCTCATCATTATGATATAGACAGAAAATAGAAACCCCTGAACTCCAAATAGTAACTATAGACTAGGAAATCTGATGCATTTCAAGATCACAGTGAGGCTGAAGAATGTATTGAATAAAAGGGTGGAAAGGTAGGAGTCCTGGTCAGAGAAGGTGCTCTAGAGTTTAAGATTTGAGAGATGGAGCTTTATGGAATGTTTATATGAAAAGAAACAATCTTGTGGTGATAGGTGCCAGCCGTGCTGATGAAGTCATAGAAAGGGATGTGATCAGAAACTCTGAAAGTAGAAATGTTGGTGGTGACAATGTGGGGCTAACATGGTGGACATGACTTGAGTACACACGGGAAGGAGGCCAGGGGCCAAGGTTTACTGTTCACTGAGAAAGATAGGACATGCTCTAGAGGTTGGTTTATCACTGAGAGAGGTAGTGGAGATGGCAAGTGATTGCTCAGAGGGAAAGAATTATTAAATGGCAACAACAGAAGTATCTAGATGTGGCTAAGGTTAACAAGCAAACTTTCCTACAGAAATTATTTATAATGCGTGGGATACATAGTAGTTTAAAACATTTTCTTATTATTATTTTAAAATTATATATAACAATTGTACATATGTCTTCTTCACTGCCTCTTGGTTACCTTTTGTGATTTCAATATCCCTACAGAAGATTCATCCAGGTGCAAAACTATGGATAAGAGGATAGATGCAATATGTCAATGTCTATATCAGTATTTTTCACTAGAGGACACAGATGAGACAGGGAGCTTAAATAACTTGGCTAAAAGCAAGCATCCCAATAGAGACATGGTCAGGATTTCAACTCAAGTGGATCCAAATCTGAACCCCATATTCTTTTTTTTTATTATTGTTTATGGCACTTTTTAGGTATACAATACAGTTGCATTCATCATAGGATCTTGTACCTTTACATGACAGGTCTTAGTTCTCATTTTTCCCCATACTCGTGCCCTCCCTTCACCCACCTCCTTTCCCTATTTACAAAGACTGTGTTTCTGTTTTCTACTATTTTTTTTTCTTTTCCCTTCTTTCCTTCGCCTACCTTTTCCACTTTCCCTACTCCTTTAGCCATTTTCTTTGTATTACACAATATCAATTATACCTTTTGAACTTTATTTACACTTTTAGTTTTTCACACCAGAGAAACTATTCAGTATTTACACATGTGTCTTATTTACTTCACTTAAGAGTATGGCCTCATTATGCATCCATTTTCCTATAAATGATTCTAGTTTCTCATTCTTTATGGCTCAGTAGTTCTCTATTTTATAGAAAAACCACATCTTCTTTATCCAGTCTCCAGTTGATTGGCAATTATGCTGTTTCCAAGTTTTAGCTATTACAAACTGTGCTGCTATAAACATGGGTTAGAATGTATCACTGTAGTATGATTCTTTTAATTCTTTTGGGAAGATACCCAGCAGAGGGAGAGCTGGGTCAAATGGACTTCTAATCCTAGTTTTAACCCGTATTCTTTACCTGATGCCTACAATTGCCAACATTCCCATGTTGATTTGTGAGGTGCTCCCAATAACTATTTTCTCTGCTTTTAGTCCTAGATTAAGCCTGCTGAGGAAGATTACAGATCTATGTCCTCTGAGCAAGCTACATATTCCTGCCATTTATGACAATCAAGCCAACTCTAGCCACTTCCTTTCTATATTGCAATCAGATAAACAGCAGAAGTATAGATTATATATGTTATAAATATGCTAATTAAATGCTCATGATCCTTAGAAATGGAAATTACAACTTGGGCAGAGGTGAAATTACTGTATGAAGAAGGCATCACGTATAACCATTCATCTTAGCAGTGTATGCCGGCTATGTACAAAGGGTTTGGCTGAGTCTGTGCACAGAATTAAAACAACAACCTCACCTGGGTCCCAGTTAGGCCCTACTCTGACACTGTAGTACTGCTTTGTAATGCTCACCTCATAATGAGCCTTCTGAGGGTCAGGTTCTACTGTGACTTCATCCACCACTGCCAGTTGGCAGATGACAGTACGGAGACAGCAACACCATTGCCCAACCATCCTAAGGGGCAGCTATGGAATCATACTGGATAGAGGACTTTAAAAATATATAAACCTGCAGAAAAAATTCTACCTGCATACACATCAAAGGAACTCTCATAGAGCTACTTGAAAATTCATTGTGAAAAAAATAAATAAATAAAAATAAGAGGGTCATTTGAAGACATCTCAAACGTCTTAGAGAATTCTGTGAGGAAGGCAGTGAAATTTTCAAAGGAAAACAACTTACAACACAAATCCCATAGTGGTAGAGGAAACTCCTTGCAAATACATATGGCCATATGCTGAATTTCAGCCAATAGAATAGAAGGACAAAGTGAGGTGAGTCATTTCTAAAAGTCATAAAAATCTATTATGGTTCTTTCACAATCTTTCCCCTCTCTAGTGCTAGAATAATGATCTGCTCATCGTCTTTATAATCATATGTTGACAATAACAGCCCTGCCTTTGTCTTGTACTCTAAGTGGCTGGATGTAAAAATATCTCCCCAAATGTAAACCTGACAACCTATCATGCCAAAAGATTGTTATATGAGCAAGAAGCTGAGTTATGACTTTAAACATTATGTTTGAAATATATTTGTTTCTGCAACTTTGCCTATATAATGAAGCAATTGGTACCCAAAAAAGTACTTCATCCCCAAAGAAAGAGATTCAGAGTTTAGCAATCGAATGGTAGGCGATTAAGAATATGGAATAAATATGGTGGAAAAATTAAAATATATTATGTAGTAAAATTAAGGAAGAATGAGGACTTTTAATAACATGAAGATAAGACATCCTTATGCTTACTGAACCTGTAACTCTAAGGAAGTGTTTGGGAAGAGTTTTCCCCTATTTCCTTTACAGTATTTATAGTGTCAGGTAATTTGTTCTTCTAGTATGGTTTTTATTATATTTGTGGTTTTCTACAAAGTTTTTCTGTTCTAAATATACTGGAAGCTAATGAGGAAAGAGTAGGATAGTGACATTTTGGTGAATAAATGTAATTAATAAAATAATCCATAGTTACTTGATTTTCTGTATATTGGGGATTGTAAATAGGCCTTACCTCTTATGGCATATCAAGCAATTTTCCTCCAGTCAAGAGAGCAAAATGTTTTTAAATACATTTTATTGTACCTTTTAATTTTATAAAATACTGGGTTTCAATGCATATGTTTGATCAAATCCACCTCTCACATGCCTCCCTTCTCCTCCCTCATCTTCCTCCTCTGTCTAGTAATAGCCTCCCTTCTGCATTCATGTCATCTTCTTCAGATTTCACACCTTAGGAAGAACACTGATCTCTCTCTTTCTCAATCTCACTTATTTTGCCCAAAACCATGATCTCCAATTTCATCCATTTTATTGCAAATGACATAATTTTATTTTTCCTTACTTCTGAGTAATACTTCATTTCATATGAATACTATCTTTTCTTTATCTGCTCATCTGTTGATGGGCACCTATGCCAGTCCCATATTTTGGTTGCCGTGAAATGTTCCACAATAAACAAGGGTATACAAGTGTGTCTACAATATGCTGTCTTAAACATTGCATAAGTATCAAGGAGTAGAACTGCTTGATCAAACTGCACATTTGTTTTTAGTTTTTTGAGGAACCTCCATACCTTTTTCCAAAGTGGATAATTTACCTTCCAATTTGCACTTTGGAAGGGTTCCCCTTTCTCCACATTTATTGTTTTTGGTATTCTTTATGTTAGCCATTCTGACTGGGGTGAAGTGAAATCTAAACATAGTTTTGATTTGCATTTTCCTAATGGTTAAGGATGTTTAACATTATTATATAGTTAATGGCCATTAGTGGTACTTTTCTTTTGAGAGTTGCCTATTTAATTCACCTTCCTATTAGTTAACTGAAGTATTCAATTTCTTGGCATTAAGCTTTTCTGAGTTCCATATGCATCCTAGGTAGTAATTTTCTGTTGGAACAGTATCTGGAAGAATTTTCCACCATTCTGTAGGCAATGTTTACACTCTATTAGCTTTCCTTGCTGTGCAGAAACTTTTTAGCAAGATTTGGTTCCATTATTAGTTCTTGCTATTATTTCATGTGTGGTTGGGGTCCTATTCAGGATGTCTTTGACTATGCCTATGACTTCAAGTGTTCCTTATATTTTCTTCTAGCAGCTTTTAGTTTCAACTCTTATACATAGATATTTGACATTTTTAATTGATTTTTCTACAAAATTAGACATAGGTACTACTTTCAATCAATATGGATTTTCAGTTTTATCAACACCATTTGGTAAAGACATGCTCTTTTCTCCCACATATATTTTTGGCTTGAATGTCATAATCAGATGCCTCCAATTTTCTGAGTTTCTTTCTGTTCCTCTCTTCTATTCCATTGATCTAGGTGTCTATTTTTGTGCCAGTAATATGCTCATTTTATTTCTTTTTTATTATTCATTAAGTTTATTGGTACATTATATAATATAATGACATCAATCATTGGGAATTTGTAACTTTAAATGATATATCACAATTCTTAATTTTTGCCCATTCCCCTGCCCTTCCTTCCACCTTTCCAGCCTATTTATAAAAATTTTGTTTCCTTTTTTTTTCTTTTCTCATTTTTTTCCTTTTCCTTGTTTCCTTTCCCCTACCCCTCCCACTTCCTCTTCACCTTTGAACTTTTTCTTCCTATTTCACATTATCTGTTATACATTTTGATCCCTATTTACACTGTCAGCTTCTCACACCAGAGAAATTAGTCAGATTTACACTTGTGTCCTATTTACTTCACTTAAGACTATGGCCTCAATGTGCAGCCATTTAGCTATAAATGCCTCTAGTGTCTCATTCTTTATGCCATAAGTAATTAACAAGCCTCAACCTAGGAGTTAAATTAAAAACAAAAAATAGAAAATGAGACTTAAACAAGATGCAACCTGACTTCCAGCTCACCAAAGACAAACCTATAATCATTTTTTGAGGTATCTCCATACTGATTTCCACAGTGGTTACACCAGTCTACATTTCCACCACCAGAGGAGCAGAGTTCCTTTTTCCCCCACAGTCTAACCAGCATTTGTTTTCAGTTGATTTCTTGATAGCATCCATTCTTTCTGGGGTGAGGTGGAATCTAAGCATTACTTTCGCTTGCATCTCTCAAATGACCAGTGATGTTGAACATTTTTTCATATATTTATTTGCTATTTTTACTTCTTTGTCTGAGAAATTTCTGTTCATTTCAGATGCCCATTTTTGGGTTGGGTCTTTAAATTTGGGGGGGTTCTGATTTTTTAAATTTCTTTATATATTCTAGATAGTAGTCCTTTTGAGGAGGAACTGGTAAAAAGTTTTCCCACATTATGGATTGTCTCTTCACTCTGTTGGTGGTGATTTCTTGTGCTGTATAGAAACTTTTTAATAGGATGATATCCCAGTTGTTGACTCTTTGTGCTAATTCACATGCAACTGAGGTTTTGATCATAAAAATTTTTCCTATGCCAGCGACTTCAACAGTTCAACCTAACCTCTCTTCCAGCCAGTTTACTCTTTCTGTTTTAATTTAGATCTTTGATCCACTTCAATTTTAATTTGGTGCATGGCAAAAAATAGGGTTCTCATTTTAAATTTTGTCAAGTTGAAACCCAATTTTTAAAGCACCATTTATAAAGGCAGCTATCTTTCCTCCAGTTAGGGCATTTGGCTTCTTTGTCAAAGATGACTGTGTCTGGAGTTGTTTCTGCATCTTCTAATTTGTTCTACAGATCCAAAGGTCTGTCTTTTTGTTTTGTTTTGTTTTTGCCCATACTTTCTGTTTCTATCACAGTACTTTTATAGTATAGTTTCAAGTTGGGAATTGTGATACCCCCTACCTTGTCTTTCTTGCCTAGAATTGATTTTGCTATTCTAGGTCTCTTCTAGTTTCAAATGAATTTTTGGATTGTTTTCTCTAGTTCTGTGAAATATACTATTGGAATTTCAAATGGGATTGCACTGAATCTGTGTAGCAGTTTTGAAAGTATGGCCATTTTCACTATATTTGTTCTTCTGACCCAAGAGTAGGGAACATCTTTCCATTGTTTTGATGCCATCTTTGATCTCCTTAATCAAAGTGTTGTAGTTTTCAGAGCAGAGGACTTTGATTTCTTTCATTAGGTTCCTAGGTATTTCTTTTCTTTTGTTTTCTTTTTTCTTTCTTTCTTTCTTTCTTTCTTTCTTTTTTTTTTTTTTTTTTTTTTTTTTTTTTTTTTTTTGATGCTATTGTGAAAGGAGATGTTTCTCCAGTTCCTCTCTCAGTGAGTCTGTAACTCTGTTGTTTTTCCATAGGAAGGCTATGGATTTTTTGTGTTGAAGTTGTATCCAGCTATTCTATTGAATTTGGTTATTAAGTCTAGAGGACTTTTGGTGGAGTCTTCTAAATAGAGTATAGAGTATCATGTGACAATTTAACTTCATTTCCTATCATTTTTGTTTTATTTTGTTTTTTGAGATAGGGTCTCATTACATAGTTGAGACTGATCTGGAAGTCACTATGTAGCCCAGGCTGGTCTCGAACTCACAGCAATACTCCTGCCTCAGCCTCCAGAGTGCTGGAATTACAGGCATATGCCACCATGCCCGGCTCTCATTTCCCATCTTTATTCCTTTTATTTCTTTTTCTTGTCTAATTACTATGTCTAATGTTACCAGTACTATATCACACAGGAGTGGTGATAGTGGCCATCCTTGTCTTGTTCTTGATAATGTGAAGGATTTCAGTTTTTCACCATTCAGTATGATGTTGGCTATTGGCTTTTCATAGATGGTTTTTATGAGACTGAGAGAGAGACTGTCTATTCCAATTTTCTGTAGGGTTTTTAATCATGAATGGATGTTAGATTTTGTCAAATGCTTTTTCTGCATCTACTAAGATGATCATATGGATTTTGCCCTTGGCTCTGTTGATATGGTGTGTTACATTTATTGATTTGAGTATGTTGATCTATCCCTGCATACTTGGGATGAATCCCACTTGGTCAGGCTGTATGATGTTTTTGATGATCTTCTGCATTCTGTTTACCACTATCTTATACAGGATTTCTGTATCTATGTTCATTGGGGAGGTTGGCCTATAGTTTTCTTTTTCAGTTTGGTCTTTGTCTGCTTTTGGGATCAAGGTGATGCTTGCTTCCAGGAATTAATTTGGGAGTATTGCTTCCCTTTCAATTTCATTGAAGAGTTTGAATAGTAGTGGCAATAGTTCTTCACTAAATGTCTAGTGGAATTCAGTAATGAAGCCACCAGGACCTGGACTTTTTGGGTTGGTAAATTTTTAATTACTTTTTCAATTTCATTGATTGATGTTACTTTTTAAAGAAATTTTAGG